ATTATCCGGTACGCGATATGTTGAATCTTCCATATCAACGATCCCCGAACTAAGCAGAATTCCATTGAAACAAAAAGACCGATACCCAAGGGACGTCGCAAGCCACTAGCAGGTACTACAATATTCCACCGGCAATTCTCAAACTCATGCTCGGCATCGGCCTCCGAGGATTAAAGCGCCGACAAACGTCGGCGGTGGCGAGCATCATTTATTTCGCGACAGGAATCGTTTAAAGCCAGCTCTCGTTTCGTCGTTCATAAAGCAGACAAAGCGGAACCACGCTCCGCTCGTCTATCCTTATAATCCCCGGGACAGCCGGCTGGATAGAGTTATCCGCGGAGGGGGACGCCCCGGCCGGCCCGTATAGCGGTTATCCGCGGTATCTTCGGTCGCTTAGGAAAAACCTGCTCCCGGAACTTCTGCAATTAATGTAATCGCGGTGCACGCGGCCGGATCACGTAGCACGGTGGCCCGCCGCGGCACGGTTTGCGTGATGAACGATTCACCGCACCGTGAACGGGACCAGGGTTTATCGCGACGAGCGACCCCTGTCCCCGCGTCTCGCCCACCGGGGAACCGCCTCGTCGAGTTGACTCTGGTGGAGCGCTCCCAAAAAAGAAAATGGAGATCGGCTCTCTGTTGACTTTGCTTCCCGATTCCTGATACTTTCGATCGCTGGCGTGCTAGTGAATACGGATGGACTGGTTGAAACTGTGGAAAGAAGCTAGAAAGACGTCTTGCTCTAGGAAATCATGTTACGATTGAACTCGCTGGTTGGACTTTGTTGAGCAACATTGGGTGAACTGGAACTTCGGTTGTACTGTTAACACTTTGCCACGTTAATTAAGAAAATTGTATACGTATGTAAGTAATAGATGAAGACATTCTACGCGAGATTCCGCTTGGATCTTTTAACCCTTTGCACTCGAGTGGCGCCTTTCAATCGCCATTTGATTTGAAAATGATCGAATTTAGAATTCAATATCAAATTTTGTATAATGTATCGACACATGGAACATCGAAATGAAATAGTTCTGTCAGTTTGTTTATGCAAGGTATTTCTTTATGTTAGTTGTAAATGATATCATCGATATTTCATCGGAAAGTAATGAATATTTCTTGAGAAAAATATTCTCGAGTGCAAAGGGTTAATCGTTGCTAACGCGAGTGGTTCAAGCGGTTCCTAATAAAAAGAAGTCGCGGATTTTCGAGGCTAACTTTAGCCAGAACCTTAGCACAAAATGGTTGATTATCAGAACTAGTGTACCTATCTGTAGATAATATACAAAGGCAACATTCTACGCGAGATTCCGGTTAGATCTTTGAATTCATTGCTCACGCGAGTGGTTCACGCGGTCCCTGGCAAGAAGAGAACGCTCATTTTCGAGACTAATTTTAGCCAGACCCTTAGCACAAAATGGTTAATTAACAAAACTAGTGTACCTGTCTGTAGATAATATACAAAGGCAACATTCTACGCGAGATTCCGCTTGGATCTTTGAATTCATTGCTAACGCAAGTGGTTCACGCGGTCCCTAATAAAAAGAAAACACAAATTTTCGAGACTGACTTTAGCCAGACGTTTAGCACGACATGATTAATTAACAAAACTAGTACATATCTATACATAATAAATCAAGACAACATTCTACGCGAGATTCTGCCCAGATCTTTGAATTCGTTGGTAACGCAAGTGGTTCGCGCGGTCCCTGGCAAGAAGAGACCGCTGATTTTCGAGACTGACTTCAGCGAGACCCTTAGCATTTCAGAACCGGCGCGGGTGGATGCCTAACGCGACACCGTGTCCCGTGAACACTCCTCTCTCTCTCGCGTTACCTCGCCACAGGTGCGCTCGGGCGTCGTCTTGCACACGCCGTGCACCGCCGATCCGTCATAGAAATACGATCAAGCCCGCAGGAGAGGTGGGACTGCATGGAATTCCCTTTACAACGAGAAAACGGAACGCCTGGCGGAGCTGATACCCCGCGTCTTCTTATTTCCTTCTTATTTCCCTCTTATAGCTACCTCCCGCGCACTCGCGACAGTCTGCAGGCAATATTCTCGGGAAAAAATCCGCGTCTGACGACCCGAATCCTGCGTTCAGACGATGCTTCGCGGATGGAATTGTTTCGAATTGCACGGCGCGCCTCCGCTGTTTCGTTGAAAGCGGAGTGCTTTGGATTTTTGTTTCCGACGAACGTCATTTGGATGTTCATTGCGAAGCTTTAGGAAACTTGAAAACTTTCGGTATTGTTGTCGGATAATTAGGGACGGTTTTAGGGAAGTTGAAGTGCTCGAAGGTTGCAAGGATATCTTCTAGAATAATCGGAAGCTGACTTCGATCGTACGAGGATAGGTACTAGCGCGTCTTCGTCCTGCAGCTGAAAAGTTTGCATATAAGGTTCTCAGCTAATTACAGTCTCGAAGCTGAAGACCTCGACTATCGCAAGTTATTCAGTTATCTCTCAGAGCCGAAGACTTCTCGCTCGATCACAGATACCGTTATATCATCTCGAAGTTAAAAAGTTCGACAAGATAATCGCACAAGTAAATCGTCTGCCAGCTAATCCCATCAAGCTCCACGCAACCTGAAACCCGCGCCATCGCTCAATCTTCCATAATCAGATAATCGACACCTAATCTTCAATCGATCCTCTAAAACCTCGCCACTCGATCCCGACACATCAAAACCCCCGCAACCCCTAGCATCCCCCGCTCCCCGGCGCCAACTCGAAACTCTCGCCCGAAAGCCGAGCACCGGGCTCCCCTAATCAACTCGCGGAACTTATCAAGAAGACAATCCGGCGAATAATAAAACCGGCCGACGGATACACCTTAATCGGCGGTGCCGCGGGACGACTGCCGTTGTTAATTGGATGAAGCAGCCCGGAATTTCAGAACGAAGATCCCCGGTCGACTGCCGAGTTCCGGGCGAGTTGGAACCGGAGGAATAGGAATAATAATAAAGGAATTTAAGTTGGCCGGCACATCATCGCCGCCAGAGAGAGAGAGAGAGAGAGAGAGAGAGAGAGGGGGGACCCGCTAACTACGCCGGATCCAATCAGATAAATGAACCCGCCCGCCCGCCCCCGCGGGCAGGGATTCGATAGCCTACTTTGCTCGTTGGCAGCCCCCAAAACTGAGATTATCTGGCCATCAACCCCGGTGCGGTTTGCAACTGACGCTTTCATTACAGCTACGCGGACGGCGCCCGGACGGGGACCGTTGCCAAAGTGCGCCAACTCCCGCGGGATCGCCGGCTAAGGATCGTCCGTCCGGTCATCGGGCTTTTAATATCCGCCGCTTCGTTATTTGCCCGCGCGCGAGGAGCTGCGCGGAGTCGAAGGAAATTGCGAGCCGGCGCGGACGCGCGTCGGGTAACGGCCGCCGTCGAATAAAACCGTTTATGGTATTGTTCGCGGATCAATGATTATCCCGCGATTTTCCTCTTCCGCCGACCCCCGCTCGTCCCCGTCGTTAGCCCGCGCCTCTCCGAGGCGACTCCGAGTTCGAAAGCCTCCGATAAAATCCAATAAAATCGCGTCGCGAACGCCGCGGGAAGAATGGTTTCGATTGAAAAGTTGCTGCGCCACTGCGATAAGGAACGAAAGCGAGTCTCCGGCGTCGCGTTGTTGCTCGGGAGCCGTTGCTGTAATTAGAAGTGCTCCGCGAAACGTCTGCGTTGTAATTGAAGCCTTCTCGGCTGCTTAACCCTCTAACCGCGAGCGACGCGCAGTCCACGTGGCTGGAATTTTTTAAAATTCTAACGCCGCTGGGAGAGTACCGTATCTTGCAGCGTATAGTGGACTCGTTTTCTTTGTGAATTACTTTTGCCTACCTTCCGCGTTTCGTTGTAGGCTTTCTTGTTAGGAATCAGTGCGAACTATTAAACCTCTGCGTTTGGGAGAGGAAGAGAGGAGAAGACTGCGGTGTTAAGCCTTTGGCGAGGTGTTCGTGTTTCGGAGAATAGTCGCAAATAGATGATCTAATTACTCGAACAAAAAATCAGCACGTAGTCTTCTATCATTTAACCAAGTATATAATTTAGCTTCATCTACTCAAGGTTCTGTATGTTCCTAAGAATCTCCGCTTACAGAGGATTAATCAAGATTGAGTACCATAATACAAACTTCTTTAACCCGTTGTCCTACAACGAGTGAGACTCGTGAAGATTTTCAACGTGATTCAACAAATATATATTACTTCGTTCATTCGAATTCAAATTCCTCTGTAACCTATTATATTTGAAAGGAAGTATAGGCATATGCTTCGAATTTTTCTCTTTTTCCAATTTATTAATGACAAAGTAGCCGTATCGATCAGAGTTGAGAAAGAAGTCATAGGCCAAGGGGTTAACCTACCGAAACTTTAACACTAGAACTACCGAGCACTTAATACGATTGATATGTAATCTCTATAAAAATCTACTGTTACAATTTTTGAGTACTATGATGAATATCCAGAGAAACTGGAAATAATCTATTGTTCCAATTATTTTCAGTTTCTCTGGATATTCATAGTACTCAAGTGAAACTATTTCCAAAATCATTTCAAATATTCAATGCTTTTAAGGTATCAGTAACTGCGAAACAAATCGAAACCAGTCATTTTACTGGTACGGTAGTTCTAGTGTTAAGAAACCATGCTGCAAACCTACAATCTACCCGACAATCCACAATCGGAAAATGCGAATTCCAAACACAAAACGAAAACTCCCAATTTCGAGTTCAATCGTTTATTCTAAATACCTCACGCGGTACGTAGAATTATCACGGTTCGTCTACATCGGAGCTTTCCTAACAGAATACTCCCCGCGAAGCAGGCACGTGAGGAACGACCCGTGGAAAGGTCACGGCTGCACGGCGCCCGTATCCAAGAAAGACGGCTTCGTAGATTCTTCGGACCGCCCGTCGAATTCCTCGAGCCCCGGCGGCGGAGGGCGAGGATTCGGGGTGCGCCTCGAGAAATATTCGTGACACGGAATCCCGAAATGTTCGCAGGGCACACGGACTACTTGAGGGGCTGCATGGCGGACATAATCTACAACGGCGCCAGGGTAATAGAGTACGCGAAGTCGAGGAAGGGCCAGTCGGAGGCGACTGCAGTGACTTGGGGCTGCTCGCCGGAATTCGACGCGACGAGGAGCACGGAAGTCAGCTTCGTCGAGGACGGCGCGTTCACGGCGATCCCGAGGCCAATTCCACGCTCCGGATCAAGGTACGTACACGCTAATAGTCAACGCGGTTACGAATGTTCACGGTTTCTCCGCTGTGAACTTGTTTCATTGGATTACGATCACGTACGGTTTAACCCTTTGCACTCGGAAGTTTTTTACTAGAAATATTTGAAATATTTTTTTACTGAGAAACTTCCGAGTGCAAAGGGTTAATGTTGAACTTTGTATAACGCCTCTGTACGAGAAATACTGGAATAAAATAGCTTTGCTCCTTAATATACTTGCGTTTTCCCTTCGAGTTAGTTTCAAAGAATATCGTCCTCGCTTCGTTAAAAAATGTTAAATATATCTAGTGAGAAATTTCTACTGAGAAATTAGTACTGAACGCTGGATTTAGAATCCGTCGATTTGACGGGTATTAACCCTTTGCACTCGGAAGTTTTTTACTAGAAATATTTGAATAGTTTCTGATGAGATAAAGACGATATTTTGTAGATCTAACTCGAAGAGAAATCACACGTACATTGAGGAATAAAGCTATTGTATTTCATTATTTCTCAAATTGATGCATTGTACAGAGTATAATATTAAATATCAAATTTTAGAGTTTTACTGTGTGAAATCAAGTGGTGAGTGAGAGTCACCTCTCGAGTGCAATTTCCGTGGCAGTTTGGATTGAGTACTATAAGTGATTAACAATTAAAGTGATTAAAACGCTAGATTTGGAATCAGTCGATTTGACGGGTATTAACTCTTTGTTCTCCAAAGGTGACTCTCAGTCACCACTCGATTGGTGCATCAAAATTGTAAAATTTCGTATTTAACGTTAAGTCTTGAGTAATCTGATGCGTGAAATGTGGAAATAAAATACCATTGTTTCCCTTATTCTGCGAATAGATTCCTCGTTAAGTTAGTTTTAAAAAAATGTCATTTATATCTCATAAAAATGAATTGAATTGCAAAGGGTTAACCCTTAACGCAGCAATGCCGCCATATAAGCACGGTAGTTGTTTTTACTGGGTCCGATGCCTTGTAGGTGGCGGTAGAAGTTATTTTATTATTCTCATCACTGTTATTGCTGTGATATTTATAATTAACGCGTTAAGTATTGTGCTAGGTAACCACTGTGAATTTCGTTGCGCTTGTTATCTAATACGGTGTATTTTCGAGGTAAACTTGAAATACTTCCGGTCTATTAAGGGATACGTTTAACTTTGCTTGGTAATAATTTAAGTCGATTTTGATGCTATTGTGGAAATGCAGTTTGTAATGATCTATTCTTGATACACTGATTTCTGTGATATGAATATGTAGCTTCTAGGAACGATGGAGTAAAGTGTAGAATAATGTTAATACTGATTGACAGTAGCTGTAATATTGTTAATAATTGCAGTGGACGTTTTGCTGGTGGTTATAACGTTGTAAAAAATTATGTCAGAAATAATTGAAGTACCGCAAGAAACTCGAATGTCCGTTTTATGGAACAACATCCTCAATCTGTTCCGCGAATCATTGAACTATTATCAATTCTTATCACCTGACTACAATTCTGCGTTCCGTGACTGTTATTTTCGATTCTACGTCGATTGTAATTCAGTGCCACGCTGTAATAACCGACACAAAATCGAAAATAACACTTACAGATCACACAGGGCCAACACAGAACCGACGGAGAACCTACGTTGGAAGCAGTACAGATCCAAAACGGTCCGCCGATAACAGTCACGCTTAGTTCTTCGGGTCTCATAACCGTCGTTCCAGAAACCGAGGCCATTATCATAACTGCGTCCAATCCCTGCCTGAAGCAGCCTTTCACCGATACAAATTACGCGAGCCCTCGGCACGGAAAAACGACCTGAGCCAGCGGAATTCCCACGAAATTCCCTTAAACCCTTCCTTAACCGTGTTAATTGGCCGTGGAACCGCGGCAGGCTGATAATAGAAAGAAAATCGATCGACCGTGGATTGCCGATTCCCGAGTAAAATTTATTAACACGTTCACTGCCACTGGAATTTCCAGCGCTTCGTATAACAATACAAAAATGGTAAATAACTATTAACACGTTCCGAGCTGGATCATTTTTCTAAGACTTTCCGTTCAGGCCACACTTTCGCAATTAAATAAAATTAACTAAACGCAGTGTACATGATATTAACCCTCTGTGAGCCGAATTTTCGTTCATTCATTCAATGGTTTCAATACTTTCATCAGACGAATATATTTTCTAACTTTCAAGTTACAATGACGTTGAACTGTCACGCCTGAAATACGTATAAAAGTTGAAGTTAACTGATTACTTAATTTTATTCCCCATTTCACCGTACAAAATGAAATAAATCGGCAAGCTGCCAATAAATTGATATGCGACTTCAAAGTTACATGGGCCTACAGAGGGTTAAGATGCCTATATTTAACTCCACAATAAATTTTTAAAAAGTTCTTCATTTTCCAATGAGAATTCATTTTCTGACACGTTGTTAATAATTCGGTATCATAGTACTCGTATTACACTGCTGGCTAGCTGCTCGCGTTAACTATATTTATTCGACATCCGTTTTGTTAACATAAATGTTCTTCGGTAATTTCGAAGCCCCGGTCATCGGTGACCCACGGCAGTCAACGCGTTGGAACAACGCGCGAACAGGTTCGACGCGAGCGCCATTGCCGAATCCTGCGCCACGGTCCGTCCGCCATAGTTACGCTCGATGAATTGAAGGAAATTGTAGCGCGGGCGCGACGGAACGAAAGTTTCGCTGCCTTCCGGTCGGTTGTTAATGAAACAGTATTTAACGGGATACACGCGGCGGACGGGACTCGCATACGAATCGCGAGGAATTGAATTCGACGACAGCCGCCGGGTTTCGTTATTGTTTCCGGTCCCGGCCCGCCAGCCGGGAATAATTGTTTTCTGCCCGCCCGTTCTTTGAGGGTAAGATTTGTTCGCCGTACATGTTCCGTGTTCGTGACGATAATAATTATTTTTCTGTTCCGACAGGACCACGTTATCGAATCTGATGCGTTTCGTTTGTTCCTCGAGCTCTTTCGGAAACTTGCGCAACGACGAAAACCGCAGACTCTAATTTAAAAACTGAATTTGATTTACATTCAGAGTCGACTGTACCGAAGTGCTAATTTCTCGGAGCTCGCGTATGCGGCGACCTAAATCTAGAATCAATGTGCAATGGGTGCATCGCGTAAAGTTCATACTTCTGAGCACAAGGAATTTCATTGCTGAGCAACTTGTTAACTCGTAACGAACTCACTGCCGAAAACCCTGCCGATCGAGTAGTTATTGACCTTATTGAACTTATTTCATCAGAGAATCCAACGACATTCAAAAGAAAACATTTTGTTTCTCAAAAAGACAACTTCCATACGTGCTAACCTCAAAACCGTAATCCCGATTCCCCTAAGACCATCCCTTCCCGTCTCACAATTACCGAGACGCCCGTGCAGATGAGTTTATCATGAACTGCATCGGATCGATGCCTGGAGAGCGGTCCGCCGCGTCTTTCAATATTTATTCGATACAGGGCTCGGGCGACGCTTCGCGGTTACGCTCGTCGAACGTCATTAATCTCGCAAACATCGTTTTTCCTTCGTGCCGCGAAGAAGATAAGCTACGCGATAGGCGGTCGGAAAGGGGGTGTAGGCGGCGGAACGGGCGGAAGGGTTCACCATTATGATTCCCGTCGAACGTCCATCCTCCGGCTCGGAAGTCTTTGTTATTCTGAAAAGTGGGATCAAAGTGCCGCCCCGTCGAGGACGTAACGAGAGCTCGTTGCAACCATTAGCGGAACGTCTACCGTCGTAACGCGATTACGGTTGTTGTTCGGAGCTTTTCGTGCCCGCTTTAACGACGCTCCCGCGGGATATCGCCGTTCGGGAACTCCGCGAGCGCGTTCCCCGTCGCCGCTTAAGAACCGGCCGCCCTTTCGCTCGGTAAGGACCTCCTTGTGAATACAAACCGATACGAGGGGTCGAGGATCCGCCGTACAAACTACTCCGCGTTGTTCGCGGGAAGAGGCGGGGTGAGGGGCGTCTCTCGCTGAGGATTTTCTTCGTGATCCTACAAGGGAACCTTCTCAGCGCACGCCGATTTTAACCCTTAACAGAGAGTATATACATGCACGCCGTATAACGTCTGATGCAGTGAAAATGCAATGCAGAGACAATTGCAGTGAAAAATAGCGTTTGTTGTACGAAAAGCATTAAGATTTTGGACGTTTCGTGTATTCGGATTTTGCGTGCATCGTGTGAAACGTTGCACTTGAGAAGAAAGGATAAACAGCGATTGAATGTTGTTCCGTAATTCCATTCCATATAATCAACCACTTCATACTATCGTATTAAACGAGGAATAAAACAATTTGCTGCCAATCATCGGTTAATCAAATGCCTGAATATCATATCCTTACGATTCAATATACTGATTACATATTTAAAATATCCATTATGCGTTAAACTGTACGATCGTCGGTGCACAGATACGCATTAGAGAATTTGATATTCACCAAACAAACGATTCAATAATTCCCATATTAATCCACTTATCGATGGAATTCGCTCGCCTCATAACACGGCTCCCTTGAAAACATTCCCTTGTACGAACTTTGCAAACATTCCGCCATCTTCGGTAATTTTCCCCGGAAAAAAAGGATCCTCTCCGACGCGAAGCACGAAAAACCTAGAGCCACTGCGTCCGACAAAATGGCGGATCGCTGTTTTCGTGTTTCTCCGGCTATCGATGCCTTGAACGTGTTAAATATTCGAAATGATTTTATAAAGTTTGAAGAATGGATTGAAGCAACCGAAAATATTGGCCCAAACGGTCGCTAGGATTTTTATACGGGTTACGTGTTAACTATATTAAACGCTCGGTAGTTCTAACGGTAAGTCCGGCTCGACGGCCGCTTTTCAACCGATTTTAATTGGCAGCTTTTTCGGTGCAGCATGAAAAATCCGGCGTGGCAGCGGGGAATGAAAAGGAAAATAGAATCGGCGACGATGCTCGTATTATCCGAACTAATTGGAACGTGA